GGCGGTCGTCACCTTGAATGGGGTCGTTGACCCACCCTGCTGTCCAACGGGTATTTCGGGTCACTTGAGGCAAGGTGTGGATCAGGGTGTGAAACCTTGGTTCTGTCTGAGCCATGGTGTGAACCATTTTTGGGTGGTTGCCCTTCACAGGTTCCTGTGGAAGGGATCTCAAGACTGCATTATAGGTGATAATTGGTGTCTTAGGTCTCCACCTGTTTAGTGATGGGCGTAGATGGCCTCTTTTACGCCTCTCTTCTTCTCTGTCCAAGATGTCTCATTTGTATTTTCAAAAGAGTGTCCCTTCTTCTTTATGTGCAGATGTACATTTGAGTCTTGTCCTGATGTGCTGGCTCTCCAGTGTTGTGCCATATGTTTGTGGAGTGGTTGCTTGATCTCTCCTATGTATAAGTCCGAGCATTCCTCACTGCATTGTACAGCAGACACCACATTGCTCAGCTTGTGTCAAGGAGTTTTGTCCTTGGGACAAACCAGTTTCTGTCTGAGGGTGTTGCTGGGTCTGAAGTGCACTGGGATGTTGTGCTTGAAGAAAGTTCTTTTAAACTTCTCAGACAGTCCTGCCACATACGGGACGACAATGTTGTTCTGCCTGTTCTGTTCGTCATTGGTTAATGTCTGAGGTTCATTTTCATGTCTCTTCGTTGCCTTGATAAAGACCCAGTTTAGATAACCACATGTTTTAAGTGTCCTCTTATGTGCAGGTTCTTTTTCTTTTCCTTCCTTCTTGGAGGGAACTTTCTCTGCCACACTGTTTATCTCCTGGGGCTTGAATTAATAACCTTCAGGTTAACATCTGCTGTTTGATGCGCTTATTTGCAAGACACATACAGCATCCTCTTTTAAGGCATACATATTTAGATTTAATGGTCTGAAAGCAATTAACGTCAAATATTTGCATTCTTCTATGTATTTACAAGAAAATATATCTTTACCATTCTGCCTTTCATGTCAACCTGAGCCTCCTGTCTCCTCCCTGATGTGGTCCTGATGAGCTACACTTGTTGCTTGTTGTCTCTCGGTGGTCTTTGTATTTAAGTACCTGTTCGTCTCATCAGCCCCAGCCCAGCCATTGACATCACTCCTCTTATTTGCCCATGTCCTTCCCTGTACTAGCCTTCCCATTTTGATCCATTGCAGTCTTGTTTGTTTCCCTGCTCCAATTTTGTTCAAATAAAGCCCATTTTTGTTCTCTTAATACCTGCTCTCTAGTTCTGTACTTTTTAGGCACTACAATTTCAAACTAATAACATGGGTTCTCATTGCCTAGTGAAGATAATTTAATTCCTGTATAATTTCATTATATCTGAAAATTGTAATATTAAGTTCTTGAATAGTCCTTGAAGACCATTGTCTCAGTACCAGGTGATGCCACAAATTGATTCCAGTCAGGGAAATAGGTCAATTGAGTATATATGAATTCAAGTACCTGCACAAAAGTAACACCTCAGAGGCAGAAGTGAACCCTTATAATCTAAACAGACAATAGCTTGTACAGTAGGTGGATTAGACAAGTAGGTGGCAAAGTGGGTTAAGTAGCCAGACTTGTGAACAGAAGGTTGCTGGCTCAATCTGGATCAGTATTGTACCTTTATGTTGGGAACCATTGTTATTGCTGCAGACCCTTCTGCACATATAGATATGACATGTGTCAGCTAATGAAAGAAATTAGTACTGAATTGCAGTGCCACTCAAGGAAATACCGGGGTTTTGCTTTTAATTAAGCCTTACCACTTACTTTGCAGGTTCTGGTAACACAGTTACCTACCTCCTGATCACTGTAATGCCACGGGCGGGATGGCAGAAAACATCAGCCGGCAGGCACCTTTCGTTTAACACTATGTAGCTGCAGCAGGATGCACATTTAGAGCTCTATTTTGATGATCTAACGCAAAGCATGAAGAGGAAGAGGCAATTAACATTTATGGAAAAAACATAAACTGACTTTGCACTAGAGCAAGGTGGGAAAAGGTTGTCCATGGGTTTAACATGCAATAAACCAATCAGAATGGCATGTCATCTCACCCTTAAGAGGCAAGGGTGCATGAGCTACGGTGGACTAGTTTTCGGCTGAGGATACCGACCCGCTCATACTCGAAGTGAAAATGCGCAAGCATCATTTACTGGAGTACCACTGTCCCACCTTCAGCAGGCATGGAATGAGGTATCAGCGAGTGTGTCCTTGTTTTCTGGCATCACCAGATCATCCGCTTGGTGCCAAAAGCAGTATAATGATGTCAGAAGATGGGGAAAACAGACGCTTGCCGCTCAGCTATTTAATGAAACACCATATGTGTGTGTGTGTCTCTGTGTGTGTGAGGGACCAGATGTACTCGATAATAAATCGTATATAAATAAAATAAAATAAAATAAGACAATTAGTGCACCTCGAGGATGTTCTTGTGTCCGTAACAAGAGTTACACACGTTTCTAAAATGCGATGTTGAAATATAATTTAATAACATTGTTGGTCAAAAGCACAATGTCATTTAGCTGCCTTAAAATGGCAACCCACCAACAATATGCTCAGCCACACTGCATTTAAAAAACACCATTCATACGAGTGGGAAACGAACACAAAATCCTTTCTCATTTTGAAAACACGTGCGCTTGTTGTGAAAATGAGGAATGCACTGGTACGAAACTAGCAAAACCACTTTGCATCGCGCTTTCTGCCGGTGCAAAATAGGGCCCTTATTGTTCACCACGATGACATAACAATGGAGCCTGAGAAAGGGAGGGCTACTGAACAAGCTCCTATTGTTCTTTATTGACTCTCTGAAACTACAGAAGACATAAAACATTTTTGGAAATACCCAGAATCCAACAAATGTGTTAATTTATATTTTATGTGTTAACTTGATTATACTCAATAATTTGATGGTATGACTATTACAATGGAACAAAATGTAATAATTACACTGTCGCGATATTACACAGCCACTCCTCATACCTGAAAAAAGGGTTACTCACTTACTATTCAGGTGCTATAAAGGTATCGAGTTCATAACTATGCCTTACACCACCTGTACCCTTGAGGCCTCTTTTATTGTGTTTAACTAATCTAATGACACGTGTGCACATGAATTCAGAGCACAATGCAAGGGTGAGCTGTGTTTCTGAGCAATGAACATCAATGTTCCTACTCCTTAATGTGAACTGGAAATAATGTCCCCATTATACCAAATGCAGATGATTCTCTTCCTATTTATCGCCCACACATCAAAGAAAGGATTTCAGAATGCCCAATTTAAATGTTGGACCTATACAATGTGTTCCCATCTAAGGATTTACCTTTCCAGTACCTCAGGTGATACATCATAGGATCTGAGAGGAATCTGTAAACCACAAAGACAGAACTATAAATGAGCTTCTTTCATGTGTCTTGATCCTGAGGTAATTGAGTCTACAATGAAAGTAAAAATGTGCATCTGTTTTGCAGACAGGCTCTATAGTAACTCTTCAACTGATTCTGTTGACATGCACAAATTATTTTGGCAAAGGTGGCATCTAAATAATATATTTTTCTCAATATTACATTAATAAAATATTGCACGTTAATAATAAAAATAAAATTGGTCAAGCATTGGAAGGTGGGGCATCTACTGTATATATGTACATCAGCAGGTCAGTTATATGAAATGTAAACCATTTATTATGAGCTCACATACATACAGATCATACACAGATTTTCTCTGTTTAAATGGTATATTTTCTGTTGTGATAACTGCTGTAAGAGCAACAGAGGTGAGGTGGCTTATATTTGTAAGGGCATGGCTAAATTATAGTTTCTGAGGGTATTTTTCTTTTTCTTTTGAGTTCCACTGAAACCAGCTTCATCACATGTGGCTGAAATGGGTGAAGTAGATTCTTTTAAAAAAAAAAAATGCTAAATCACAGTTTTATGTAAAATGATAAAAAAAACACATATATTTAAACAAGTAATCTCTTACGGGATGAAAAACAAGGTGTTTATCAGACAGGAACCCAAAGCATTTGATGTCTAGTCTCAAACAAACATATAAACTTGTCTTAGCATTTTTGGAGAACCATTCATGTGAGTGTTGCAGGGCTTGTCCTTTGAAAAATGCAGGCGCACACAAATTTGTGCACCTAAAAAGTGCTAGGTGCACAATTTTTTTTGTGCACCATAAAAGTGCTAGGTGCACAATTTGACCTTTTTTGTGCGCCTAAAATGTGGTTGGACTTTGGTGCAATGGGTCAAAATGTACTTGTATTTGTACATATTTCTGTTTTTTGTAGTCCTTGTGTTAGTTGAGAATTTTGTCCTAGTTTTAATGCTTTAACATATTTTGTAGAAACCCATTTAAAGTGAATCACTTTTTATTGGTGAATAAAATTTGCAATTCAGAATTCAGTCTTTTTTGCATCAATACTTTGGAGATTGTCCTCAATTTGCATAACACTTGCTGCAGAAGGCTGAGGGGAAGAGCACCATAATATAAAGATTATATGGGCCAAAACTTAGAGATGGCATCCAATAATTTGTATGAGCCAAATTCTGTTTCTCCACTGAAATTGCATTTGTTAGCCAGTGTCTTCTCTGAAAACTTCATTCTTGGATGAAGAACACATCAACAGTCGATACCAGCAGCAGCCAATCCTTAACATGTATACAGCTAATACTATATAACTAGTTATGAAGATGCCATCTCTTAAGTGCTTGAGTAGTTTTGAGTAGGTTGCCTTCCAGGATAGAATCTGAAACTAGACCACAGGGTGAGTAATGACAGTAGCCAAGGATATTGCTGTTGGACTAGGACTAGGAGTGGGGATAGATCAATATTAAGAGTTGGACAATAGGGTTGGGTCGATAGACGATGCCATCGTCCATCGCCGATGGCCGATAGACATCACGATGCTGAGTCGACATCGCGATCCTCCGCCCCACCCCCGCCGCAGCAGCAACCAGCTCACGAAAAACACACACTTAATCACACTATATAGCCAAATTAAATGCATGCTTTCAATTTCAGCATCTTTACTTATTTTATTATTATTATTATGAGGAAATAATAACAAGGAAGTTGTTAGCGATCACAATACGAATTACACGAACTAGTTCGTTTACATAAATAAACCACACTAGCATCCAATCCAGAGCTTTTCCAGCTTCTTGACTTGTGCTTTCTGAAATTAATCTGGCCCTGCACTGGATCAGTGCTTATGGAAAATGGATAGATATGCAGATGGGAGAATTTGGCTTGCATTACATTTAAAAACAATTATGAGCAACGACATGAAAAATCCCAGTGAAATCGGACACTATGTTGTTGCTCCTCACGGGCATGACATTGAACTCCTCAATGGAAAAGCCCAGATTCTTAAGTGTTTCCTGGATGAAACTCTCTCTGAGGGGGAGGCAGGAGAACCTCTTACCCCCCACCATGTAGAAGGTTTCATTGAGGACGCCCACCATCACCAGAACTGCCCCAGGCTTCAGCAGCATCTTCAGGTTCCCCAACACACGCTGATAGGTCTCCAGATCCCGGCAGGCAGCTTCCAGGCAGAGGCAGCTCAGCAAACAGTCAGCGGGCCCCACAACGAGGGGCCCGAAAGGGTTCTCCAAGCGGACATCACATTTCAGCACCTGCTTCACAGTCTGCTGGAGCCTCACTTTCTTCTCCCCAGGTGTCCTCCTATAGGATGTACCAGACAGAACATGCAAAAAGCAACAGGCAAAGAATGGGAAGCTCAAGTCAAGATGGCTTACTGAATGGAAATAAAGACAAACTGAAATCTGTACTATCAACCAAGATTCAGCAAAATAAAAGGTCTCTGCATAACTTGAGATCGCATGATTATTATACAGCGAGACTTACATAAGTACCAAATTCTGTCATTTGGCTTAGTTTTGTCCATAAACCTGAACCCTAACCATTATGAGAGAGCAAGAAGACAATTATCAATCAAGGATTTCAACTTAGGTTTTCCAATACTATATCAGGCTCCCTGATTCCACTCATGAAGGACAATAAACTTCACCTATTTCCCTCCACCTCACAGACAAACTGGATGACAGGATCCCAGTCAAAACAATCCGCATCTGCTCTCAGCCATCTCTCAATCTCCTGGCGGTTGCAATCAGCAAAGTCGGACATAATGATCTCTTCAAAGTGCTCGCAAGCACTTATCAGACCATGTATTGATGGACCACTTCCTATCTCAATTAGTCTTCGGCCCTTGTATTTCCCTAGAGTACAGCAAGATTACATCAGAGACCAGAAAAAAGCGAAATGTCAACAAGTCAACAATCATAAGTTTTGATTTTCAACGCACCTGCTCCAAACGACTTGCTCAATTGTCGCAGCTCATACTTCAGGCAGTTTTCATCAGAATTGCCGTGGGGGCAAGAGTAAAAGCTGTTTAAGTATGCCCTGGGGTCAAAGTGGTCCTGGTAGGATTCTCCCTCTGTGAACGTTGTTTGGCCTGAGCCCTCCATGGCTGCCATCTGCATGCTCGCTTGTACGAAAGACCGACGTGTCTGTTTCTATGACTCTGATGGCAGGCAGTGTCACATGTCAGTTCCTGTACTTTTTATGGTGTCGAAATGCCTTCCGAGGTCACGCAATCCAGCGTGCCAAAGTGCACAGCACTGATCTCCAACTTTAAAAAAAACAGCGCAGTCATCTGTTGTTTTATGCAGCTAGATTCACTGATGAGTGTAATCACTGTGGATCATCTGCTTATACTGAAAAAAGACTACAGATTGCAGGTGGCTCTCCGAGGTTGCTCTTGTATTTAAGAATTAACTGAATATAACACACACACACACACACACACATACTGGTTTTTGTGGTTTAACAGGACAAACCAGTTGTATGGTGGTTTAAGGGGACACACCTTTCCCAATGGCCTACACTTGTTGATATGTGAGCTGTGAAGATGATGAAGCAACATCTAACATCCTGAACTGTGGAAGTACAGATCCACTGCACCTGAAATATAAGTGCATCACTTTTTATGAGCTTATATGGTTTCACTACTGGTTTCCTTGCCAGCCTCAAAAGCAAATCTGGTGATGCAAGAATCACATGGGGGCTTAGAGCCTATCCGAGTCAGCACAGGGCACAGGTTAGAGGTTCACCCTATATGGGATAATAATCAATCACAGGAAATATACATGCACACACAACAGGCAATTCTGAGACACTATTTAGCCTAACAACATACCTTTTGATGGTGGGGAAAATCTGGATCATTAGAGGAATCACCCACCTCTGGAGATGCAATATAATAGTGCAACACACCGGATCAGTTCTCACAATCACCATCCTGTGGTCACATATCTTTTTTTAAATTCTGTCTCTGAGATTCGGTGGCAAAAATCAGAACCTGCAAATGATAACAGTAAAACGGTTGTTATTAAAACATCATTGATAGTCTCCATAATGTAATTTGCCTTTTATTTACTGACCTCAACTCAACAGCTGTTTCTATTTGAATGACTTACTGTATTACAAGTATCATGACTACGCATCTTATGATGTTTTACAAAATCCTTCTAACATTCATTCAAGATTTACTCCACTAAAACCCCTTCAAGTTATGAAGGGCAGCTATTAAGTAAAGTATTATCTGGGAACACCCTCATCCCAACATTTACAAATCCCCAAAAATGTGCACATTTATTGAAACCACATCTCTGTTTTAGATTGCGCATTCATCCATCCATCTTCTATAATGCTTATCCAGATCAGGGTGCAGAGTTTCCCAGAAATGGGTACCCTACACAGTAATGGTTTCTCCCAAAAGAACCAATCAAGTAAACAAAACTAACCAGTATACGCCGTAAGCCCTCCCAGGATTTGTACATCTATTTGTGATGGTTAGAGAATCAAACTGTTGGAGCAACGGCTGAAACAGAAAGACAATATGAGGAAGGAGGCTAATTGGTGTTACAGCACACAGTGTTTGTGGAGGATGCAACCCCTCAGCTAACAGCTTTGGTCGTGTCTAGCATTTTTACTGGAATTTCCGCCAAATGGGGAAGCTTTCATTCACCCAAAACCAAAGATAGCAGTGGCTAAGAGATTTTTTGGGAGTTTTTAGATGAATCAACATGATGCATGATTTGTTTGTTGCCATTTTGGGCACAGAATATTTCAGGAGAAGTTAACTGGAACCTCATTCATCAAATAAAATCAAATCCATATTGCATATATTCATTTGCTAGTGTAGAATATGGCGAACTGTTCATTCCAGCATGTCAGTTTCCCATGAAACTGAAATATTATCCAAAAATAGTGAATCTCATTCCCCCCACCCCTAATTCATCCAGAAGGAAAAAAAACATTCTGACTACTGAAATTTGGTAGTTTTAGAACTGTTAAAGATACAATATATAATTAACTTTAAGACTTTCATAAAAATAATTTTCCTATGAGGAATGTCCTTTATTATCAGAGGGCAGGATCAATATAGCAAAGACTGACTCAATGAAGATGAGAACAATAGATCCAAGGCCTTCAGTAGTGGAAGCAATGAAAAACTATGCGAGCCCTATCTCAGAAGACCTTGTTGTCCTCCGCTGCCAGCCTTACATTTTGGAGATACTCATTAAACGAAACCTTAGGCTTTAAACATAAAAGTTGGAGGTTATGCTGGAGCCTATTCAGCTTTATAGTGGGTTTAGTAATGTTGCTTACTGAATATGCTGTAACCAAGCCCAAACCCAAGTAGCTCTTGTGATAACATCAGGTTTGGATAAAACCAGCTACTGTACTTGGAAATCTACCAAGCACAGTTCCACAGTTGTTTACCTGATACAAAGAGGAGTTCCAACAAGGATTGGCTAAAAAATTATGCTCTGCAACCTCTCCATGGAGGAATATGACTACATACTAAACAAATACTAAGAGGTTGAAGAAAGTGCCAAGATCTGGAAAAAGAGACTAGTCTGTCTTTTGTATTGCCAGGATCAATGTCTGGGAACTTTAACATTTTACAATCAATAATAACCTGCTCTGCAGCTGCCCCTAAATTCAAGAAGAAGCTCAGGCTGAGTTGACTTTTCTCCAGTATTTTACTTCAGATGATTTCCACAGCTAAGTTTAATGAGCAACACTACTTACCCTGCAGGAAGATATTCAAAAAAACTGCAGAAAGAAAGTTGTATGCTTGCTAACATACCTTTTCAATTAAGAACTGAAAAGAGAAGGCAAAGTCAGATAACAGGAAAAAATGTGAAAAATGCTCTGGATAGAAAGGACAGGTGGCATGACTAAGGTAACCCTTGGCTTGCCCCAGGTGCAGGGAAATGGGAACAGGACAGCTTTGAGGCATAGATCAGCAGGAACCCTGGGTTTCTCCTTTTATGTTACTCGAAGGAGCAAACTTCTAAGGCCTTAGTGAACACAATCCTCTCCATTCCATTGCTGCACCCTGGGGCCTTCTCTCATCTGTCAGAGAACTGGGATCCAACCATTCTCAGCCTATGCACAGTGACAAATGCAACAATCCTGGACAGATGTCTCCTTCATGCACTGCTTTTGCTTGGCCCCAGTCAGAGGGCATTGGGTTCCGAGCCTACAGGCAATTTTGTACCTCCCCATCCAAAGAATTAATTTCCCTAGGGGGGTACAGTCCCAATTCATTCCCACTCTGGCTTGATAAATGCACGACAGACTATAGCCAAAAGTGACTGCCTACTGAACCATCCACTGGAGACAACAGTGTAGCCATGTTACAGTGTAGCCATAGTGACAACAGAGGTGCCCTTTATCTGATAGGCAGACAATCCTCTGATAACGAACACCAAGACATTCAAGTGTCATGGCATAAATAGTTGACTCAACTAGCAGGGGTTTTTCAGTGCAGTAAGGAAATCCCCACCACACCTCAGCAAGAAGACCTTTAGAATTTAGGATTTGTTGTAGGACAGAGATTGATCATGCAGACATATATTAAGAAAGATTTTAGGAGCAGCAGTAGCAGAGACTCACCTGTAGCCCTGGGAGTCTGGATCTACAGTCCAAAGCAGAATAAGGTTTGTACCTGAAACTCTCACCTATCCAGGAGGGTCTTTGTAAGCTCTCTGGAATAGTATATTACAGGGTCAAGCTTCAGGTGCTGATCTCATAAAAAGGGTTGAAATGCTGCCCCTCACGTCAAGTTCTAGAACTACTCATGACAACAGAATAATGTGTGCAGTTCATGCGTGTGCTACCCTAAGAGACTGACTGCAATCTCTTTCAACTGTTTGAGGGCTCTGAGACTTTAAGCTCCTGGGGTTCAGCAGTGCAAAGCTTTTACTGAAATCCACACCCTGCCAGCTATGCTTACAAAACAATAAGGGTGCACTGTCCTGCTGAAAGAGACCACTGCCATCGGGGAATACTGTTGCTATGAAAGCGTGTACTTGGTCTGCAACATCTTTAGGTAGGTGCTATGTGTCAAAGTAATATCCACATGGATGCTAGGACCCAAGGTTTCCCAGCAGAACATTGCCCGGAGCATCACATTGCCTCTGCAGGCTTCTCTTCTTCCCATTGTGCATCCTGGTGCCATCTCTTCTCCAGAAAAACAACTCAATCTGTGATGCATTGTTCTGATACCTTTTAGTCATAGCCAGCATTAGCTTTTTCAGCAATTTGTACTACAGTAGCACTCCTGTGGGATCAGAGCAGACGGGCTAGCTTTCGCTCCCCATGCACATTAATGAGCCTTGGGTGCCCATGATCCTGTTGCCAGTTCACTGGTTTGCCTTCCTTGGACCACTTTTGCTAGGCACTGACTAGGCCTTTCACGATAACAAATTTTGCTGGACGATAAATTGTCCCAGGAATTATTGCGATAAACAATAATATCGCAGTGACGTCATGTCCGCCAGTGCGAAATACGGCTCACTTGCTTCCGGTTTGAGTAACTATGAGCGCCAGAAAGGATAAACTTGTGTTTCAGAAGCTAAAAAAACAACAATAATAATTTCCTAAGTGCACCACATCCTCAAAATACAATCGAGTTTCCATGCACACCTCTGGGAAATTCGGCAAATCCAACATATTTATATTCACATTTCATATAATTTATATGAATGTATAGTAAACACGTCTGCCTAGGTGAAATTGATAATTATACTCGGATGATCATCATAACCGATTTTTTCTTCATGTCTCAGTCTAACTGACACATGTATATTTCTTACATGAATAATAGGTAATAAAACGGACAACATAACTAATTTTGATTGCAAAATACAGTACAACCGTTTGAAACGCTTTTCAAATTACAGTACTGTACAAATTAAATTACTGAACTGTGTATAATTAAAATAAGCTATATAATACAGTATAATACTGTACCTAAATATTCAATTTTATTTATACAGCGTATTTTCACAACATTGTCTGAAAGCATTCGCTGCAGCATCTCCGTGGCTCGTTTTATGGCGGTTTATCATAAGCTTTGATGAGTCTATATAACACAAATCTGAATATTGAACAGCTTTAATTAGAACTCTGACAAATTACCAGTGCTGCCATACTTTTACACTATGATGTTTGTCGTGCTTCTTCATGGATCTGAAGCAGCAACCTCTCCTGTTCCCGTGTTTCTGCTTGACACTAAGAATAGCAAAAACAGATTAACGCAATGTGTACTTAAGCACATATAGAATATACTAAGTTAAACATTCTCCGCTAGAATGACTGGGGATGTTCATAGTTACTTCATTGCCACATGCATACACTATCACTGTCCGGGAGTAACCCCCTCAATGTCTATAGCTAACACCA